CACACGGGTTCTATTCACACACACACGACATCGAATGGTTTCTTCTCCTCCTTGGCGGCAGAGTTGACCGACGCGCCCTCGAGCGTAGCCACCGCAGCCTGCGCTCGAGTGAGGGCGGTCTCGGCCACCAACTAGGACAAATTAGCGTCCTTATCACGTGCGGCTGCTAATTTTTCTCCAGTCGCAACACTGAGGTGACCGCCTGCTGGTGGCGGTTCTTAGCATCCCTCCAAGCACCATCGGCCTGTTGCATAGCCTGAACAACATTTGCAGCGCCTGGGCCCTTTTGAGCTTGAAGTCTGTCGAGCTGCTGCTGAAGACTGGCACGCAATTCAGGATCTCGTGCTGCCTGAAGTGCTGCCTGAAGATACGAAGCCACTGAATGCTGATCCTTCAGCACACCTGCCGATCCCCGCGGGGAGGTGTTGGGTGTCGAAGGATGCGAGCCGCCGCCTCCCTTGTCAAGACCATCCTGCCCATCAGCGAAACGAACCGACTTCCGCAGGGCACTCTGGGGAGTAGACTGGGCAACTCCAGCCAAGGGCGTTGACGACTTCTTCTTGGGCTTATATAGTGCAGCCTTTTTTCCACAAACACATTTTGGCCTCGGTCGATCAGCTTCTCATTGTATTCCTGTCGCCCACAGTGCTGACACTCTGACCACAAACGGCTCATGGCTATCCTCGGCTTTAGTCAACCAAAGCTGGAGAGTTGGGCTGGACTCTCGACGGAGGTTGTCCCTCAAGCGCCACGGGGAGGCACCGAGGCGGCACAAACACGCGGCCTCTCCTCGGGGGAAGAGGACTTGATGCTTGAGCCAAAATGGCTTGAGCGAGGAGGAGATGGAGGACGAGGAGGAGGACGAGGAGGAGGAGGAGGAGGAGGGGGAGGAAGAAGAGGAGGAGGAGGAGAAGAAGAGAGGAGATGGTGGAGGGGAAAACGGCGAGAGGAGTCCTGGCACAGCGTCGGTGGCAAGACCCGCAACGACATCGGGAATCGGGCATGAACATGGGGGGGAGGGAATTGAAGGACGAGGGGAGGAGGCAAGCCAGGCGCGCCCTGTGAGACCTGTGGGGCAGGTGGGAACTGCGGAACTTGTGCGGTCTGTGGGACCTTCTGTGGGACCTGTGGAACCTGTGGGGCTTCTGTGGCTTGTAGGGCCTGTGGGGCCTGTGGGAACGGTGGACATGTGGGACCTGCGGGACTTATGGGACCTGTGCGACAGCTGTGTTCTGTGGGGCCTGTGACGCCTGTGTGACCTGCGAGACCTGTGGTATCTGCGGCTTATGGGACCTCCGTGACCTGTGGGCCCTGTAGGACCTGCGAGACCTGCGGAACCTGTGGGACGACCTGCGACACCTGCGGGTTATGTGGGACCTGTGGGTCCTGTGGAATCTGTGTGGCATGCGAGACCTGCGAGATCTGTGGGATTCTGAAAAGTGGCCCACGCTGGGGCGCGAACGCCATTCTGAACGACGGGAGCAAAGCGCCGATCCGAACATGAGGCCCACGCTGCAGCGTCAGCACCATCTTGAAGCACCGAAAACAATCGGACTGCAAACACACACACACACACACAAGACATGTACACTTTCACAACCTGTGTGTGAACAACAATCTGCGGAGGGGGCGGGACCACGCCCTGGACAACTTCAAGGGAGAGAAGAGAGTACGGCCGGATCTAGGACAGCATTCGCCGGCCCAACGGGCCAGAGGCGTGCTAAGATCTCCGGTAACTGCTCAACAATATGTCTAGTTCGCGCGCGCGGGGCGGGCCCTGGGGGTCCCCGGACGAAAAGTACCCCGGCAAGGTCCCGGCAGACTCCCGGCAAGGTCCCTTTTCGGAGCCCAAGAGGGCTCCAAACGGTCCAAGAGAGGCCCGAGAAGCCCTCCAGACGGTCCAAGAGAGCCGGGAGACGGCGAAATATCACCCCCAAACGCCTGCGATGGCCTCAAGACGGCCCAACAGGCCTTCAAGACGCCCCAAGAGGTCCCAAAGCGGCGCCCCAAGAGGGCTCCCACAAGCAAAAATCGTCCCATTCCCTTAGGACAACGTGCATTTTTAACATATCCGCCTCTTCGTCTTTCACACCTTTCAAGGCGGTCCAAGAGGCCCCCAAGATCACCCCAAGACGGCCCGAGAGACCCTCAAGACCGCTCAAAGACGGCCCAAGAGCGCTCCAAGAAGGCCCAAGAAACCCTCAAGAACTCTTTTTCGGAGCCCAGGAGGGCTCCAAATCGGTCCAAGAGGGGCCCGAGAAGCCCTCCAGACGGTCCAAGAGAGCCGGGAGACGCCGAAATATCACTCCCAAACGCCTACGATGGCCTCAAGACGGCCCAACAGGCCTTCAAGACGCCCCAAAAGGTCCCTAAGCGGCGTCCCAAGAGGGCTCCCACAAGCAAAAATCATTTATTCCCTTAGGAAAACGTGCATTTTTAACATATCCGCCTCTTCGTCTTTCACACCTTTCAAGGCGGTCCAAGAGGCCCCCAAGATCACCCCAAGACGGCCCGAGAGACCCTCTAGACCGCTCAAAGACGGCCCAAGAGCGCTCCAAGAAGGCCCAAGAAACCCTCAATCACTCCTTTTCGGAGCCCAGGAGGGCTCCAAATCGGTCCAAGAGGGGCCCGAAAAGCCCTCCAGACGGTCCGGGAGACGCCGAAATATCACCCCCAAGCGCCTACGATGGCCTCAAGACGGCCCAACAGGCCTTCAAGACGCCCCAAGAGGTCCCAAAGCGGCGCCCCAAGAGGGTTCCCACAAGCAAAAATCGTCCCATTCCCTTAGGACAACGTGCATTTTTAACATATCCGCCTCTTCGTCTTTCACACCTTTCAAGGCGATCCAAGAGGCCCCCAAGATCACCCCAAGACGGCCCGAGAGACCCTCAAGACCGCTCAAAGACGGCCCAAGAGCGCTCCAAGAAGGCCCAAGAAACCCTCAAGACGGTCCAAGAGGCCCCAAGACGGCCCCATGATTGAGGTCCACAGGGGCAACCTGAACGGAAATTTTGAGCCTCCCGCCCAAACACGCCCCCGAAATGCCCCTACAAGCCCCCAGGTAGCCCCACGAAGCCCCCAAGAGAGTCCCAAGAGGCCCCCAACAGGCCGCAAGAAAGCCCCAAGAAGACCCCAAGAGACCCCCAGGAAACTCCCAGGAGGCCCCCAAGAGGCCAGGCAGACCCCCCCAAGAGACCACCAAGAGTGCCCACCCAGAGCCATCCACGAGGCCTCCCAAAGTTCCCAGACAACTCCCACGAAGCTTCCAAGGGCTCCCCAGACCCCCCAAGAACCCGCGATGGCACAATACGGGCCGGCGGAATGAGCGAAGCGATTCAATAACACTCTTCATGAACATGAGGCCCTCCGCCGGCCAAACTGAAGAGCATTCGGAGGCACCCTTCACCTGGATACACGAGAACATGCAACAAACACGATGAACCTTAGGGCTCCCTCCCCGAACCGACCTCGATCTTATACCGCGGTCCATGGGAGGAACAGCTGTGGAAGGAGCGCAGGGGACGGCGACGAAGGGAGGGCCGGGGGAAGGAGGGCGGGGGAGCAGGCGTGGCGTACACGGGGGAGCAGACTTGAGGGGCAACAATAGTGGGGACTGGCACAGGCGGAGGGGCACATCGACTGGGAATCGGCGAGACATCGCCGATAGATGAGCGCCAAGGCCTCGATAGTGGATCCACGCTTTCCTGGGCAGCTTGGGGCCATCGAGCCCCTTATCGGCGATCGATGGGCGATTGGGGGTCGATGCGTCCCGCCCTATGCCTATCCCCCCCCCCCATCGCTGCCCTTGAAGCCTCTCAAGAGGGGGTAGGGGACGAGGAGGGGTCAAGGAGGAGGAGGAGAGCAGTAGCAAGCGGAAGGGGGGGAGAGAAGCGGGGAGGGCGGTGAGCATGGACATACTCGGGCCCCCCCAAGGCACGAGTATGTCCATGTTCACCGCCTGGCAAGGCCCCCCAATCTCGACCCCGCAAGCGGTGGCGATGGATACGTCCCCGCCATGGAACTCGGGGGGGGGCAGGAGGGAAAGGATGAAGGAGGAGCAGCAACAGCGACGACAAGGCATGAGCCTCCTACCGACTGCTCCAGCTCCCTCTCATCCCCTTCCTCCGCCTCCTTTTTTTCGTTCGTCAGGGGACGGAGGGCTCCTGGGTGCTCACAGGACTGCGTAAACTATACAACATAGCGCGGCAGCTGCGGGGATCGGGCGCGGAAGCACGAATTTGACGAAACACCACTTGCAAGAGCAACGCCAAGATCCGGCCAGCGCCGTTACGACAGAGAGCGTAAAATGCTGCACATGAGAATCTCTACGACGGATTGGCCGTGGGACGAGCTGTACAAGACACCGCGCCGTAACGCGATGCTCGTGCACGCACTGGCCAGCGGGCCGGGGGGTGCGCTACCGGTAGTGTCCAATTCGCATGCCGTCGCGGGTGGTCGCGGCCCCTCGAGCCAGCGGGCGCGCGCGCCCCTGGGCCCAAGCCTCGCGCTTGGCCGCCCGGCCCTGCTCATTCAGCCGGGCCAAGACAGAAGGAGGCACAGGAGGGGCGTTGGCTAGCACCCATGCCGCGCACGTGGGGCGCCGCTTGTCGGACAAATGCGCGACGCACCGCAATCGCGTGTGAAAACTGGTGCCGCACGCAGGGCGCGCGCCAGAACCGTCGATACGTTGCTCGACGGCCAATCGGTGCCCATGCTTGGCCCGACAGTGGCTGGCCAAGGCTCGCTCCGAAGGAAAACGCGCTGGGCAGACTGGACACTGGTGGCCCAATCCGCGCCCTGCACTGTGCTCCGAGTGCCCCGGTAGCGCAGCCCGGTCCAAGCAAGACTCATGAAAACATATATTGTCCAGGACTTGGGCCCACTTGGTGGCGCCCCGCAACGGACCAAGCCATGCCTGTGGGACTTCCCGCAAGGAGGGCAAATCATGCACCAGGCCAAGAGAGCGCACGCGCGCGACATCGACCCGAATCGTCGCTAACCACGGCAACTCTGGCTCCCCAGCGCCGGCCTGCAGTAAAACTAAGAGGGCGGCCGGCCGGTTCCGGACCAGCCTGCCAAAATACCGCAAGCGCGCCACCAACAGAATGGAATCGAGCGAGGGCTGCCCGAGCTTCTCCCGGACCTCCAGGTCAGTCAGCGCCACGACCTTGGAGAAACGAGGGTCTCCTGCAATCCGCCGAATCACTCTCATGTAGACCCCGCACAAGCGGCGAGGCGTCTTGATGGGCAAGGTGCAGACATGGAGGTTGAAGGTGAGGCGGGAGAGGGCGAGGCTACGCCAGAACGAGACCTTATACTTGTCGTTCATCAGCGGCGAGCCGAAGACCTTCCGGGAGATGGGCGCGCACGCCGCGATCGCAGACTGCGCCCTGTCAGCGGCATTGCGAAACGACATTCCGTGCGCAGAGGCCCGCGTGCCAAGATGCTTGTACTCCTCGCACACGTGAAGGGAGTGCCCAGAATTCGGGACCGGAATGGCCAGGCTGCCGTCGGCTTGCCACCATTTCTCCCGAACGTCCACCGAGTGCTTGCCCCGGAGAGCAATTAGGCCCTCGGTCTTGCCCCTGCTCCAATTGATCTCCAAGTGGAAGTCGCCGAAAGTGCCTGTCAGAATCTCGAGCAAGACGTCGATAGCACGCGCCAAAACCCGAGGAGACTCGGACAGGAGGATAACGACCTCGTCGTCAACGAAGGTGGCGTCCACAATCTCGCATTCAAGCGGGTCGTCGGCGGGCGCAGGCTCCCAAAAAGCGCCAGGGGCCTGCGGGGTGCGCAGGGCCAGGCCCTCCTGGCGCAATCGCCACCGGAGCGCGTCTAGTGCCGGGGTGTAGGCCGGGTTGAACACGAGGGATCCTAGCTTGCACCCTTGACGCCCCCCCGTGTGAGAGGCCACGACGCGGTCCCCGCCTGGCACCTGGAACCGCGAATGTTCGTGAAACGCGCGGGCCATCTCCTTAGCCGTGTGGTTGGCCCCCCATTGCTGCAGTAAGGGTCCGCGTTCTTCGATATGCACGTGCAGCCACCGCGCCGCTCGCGGGGCGACTCCAAGCTGGCGGGGGCGGCGCTCGCGGTGCTCACTGTCCACGCCGCCCCAGCCCATGACGAGTTGCCGGATAACCCTGTCAAAGGCCTTTGTCAAATCAACGAAGAGCAGAAACAGTGATGCATGCCACGCCTGGGCAAGGGCAGTGGCAGTGAGGACCATGTGCGTCGCGAAATCTGTCCCTCGCTTGGCCGCTGCTCCGAATTGCGTGGCTGGCAGGTGCTCGTTGACGGTGGGCTCCAACGCGTCCTTGACGATGCTAGCCAAGCCTTTCCCAGCGTGGTCAGCCAGGAGGATGCCGCGGTGGTTGTCGCAGATTCTGCGGTCACCCTTCTGCTCGTGGAGGTGCGGGGGGAGGCCGCCGCACCACTGCAATGGCCACTGGTAATTTTGAAGCACCCGCTCGTTGACGGAAGCGTACAAGGTTGCAGCAGGGCCCCCGCCAGCCACCAAGATCTCGGCGGGGACGCCGTCCATGCCAACCCCTTTGTTCCGGCCGAGCTTGCGGAAAGCCGCCGCCGTCGCGGCGGGCCCCGCGTCCAGCAGCCGCGGGTCGCAGTAGGCGGGCTGCGCAGGGCGTCGCATCTCGTGCAGCGCGGTCAGCTCGCCTTTGAAGACGTCGCAGAAATGCTCCTCCCAGCGTGCGATCTCCTCGGAGGCGTTCTGGGTGAGGGTGCCGTCGAGCTGGAACACCTCTGTGTTGGCGACGGCCGAGCGTGCGCCGAGGGCGCGGGCGACGGCGAACTGGGTGCGCACGTCACCCGCGTCAGCTGCCGCCTGAGCTTTCATCGCCATGCTATCGAGGAACTCCATGCGGTCCGCGTGAAGGGACGTGCGCACGCACTTCTGCAATCCCAAAATCGCGGCGTAGAACGAAGATTCGTGTTTCCGCGCCCGCGCATGGGCATTCAGCGAGTCCACCGCTGCGCCCAGAGCGGAGAAGGTGAAAGACTACATAGGAGACGCAGCGGAATGCTGTGCCCGCCGGAGCCTCCACCCAGGCAGCGCTGCAAGCCACGCGTCGAAACAGGCTCGCTGAAACCATGCGAATCGGTGTCGCCCGGCATGAGCTGAACCATGTCCCACGTGGTCTGCGACAGCCACGGCTTGCGGGGCAGGGGCCGGGCCTGGCCGAAGACGTCCAGGGCCGCCTCCGTTACGATGGAGTTCACTCGCGCCAGCTGCTCGTCGACGTGCGGCTCATCAGGAATAGGAGCCTCGAGCAGACGTGTTTGGAAGGCCTCGACCAACTTCGCATTCCCAGCGCCCGCCTTGTCGACGCGAACGGGAGGAGGCGGCCGGGGTGCAGAGCCCAGCGCGGACTGCTGCACAGCGCAAACGACCGAAACGGCCGAGTGGTCGCGCCGCCCGTCGAAGGTGAGGTCCATGTCGGCGTGCACGTGGACGTCGGAAGCCCATGTCTGGTGGGCGTTCCGGATGAGGACATAGTCGATCCGAGGTGAAGTGTTCGTGTTGTGGTGCCACGTGGGCTCCGCACCAGAGAACGTGTTGATGGCGACGAGTTGCAGCGTCTCTGCGAAGATGCGCAGGGCTGCGCCGTTCTCATTCTCGTGCTCGGGGCAAGCGGTGCCGAACGCCTCAGACGGGACCCTCCCTACCCTCGCGTTCGCGTCCACGGCGACGAACCAGAAGGCGTCGGGGAACCGTGCCCGGAGGTCGACGGCAACGGAAGTGAGGTCCGTCCAGAACTCGAGGCGCTCGTCCGCGCCGGTGCACGAGGTCGGCGCGTGCGCAGAGAACCACACGTGCACGGCGCCTTCGCGGGAGACGCTGACCACGAACAGCATGCGAGGCGAGCACGCACGCCACTGAGCGACATGATGGCCAAATTCGCGATCAAGCCAAAACTGCACTCCAAGTGCTCCGTCACTCGTGGCGGGAGAGACGAACATGGTGAAGTAGACGCCCTCGCGTTTCTCTGCTTGGCGGGCGCGGGCCGACCCTTTGTATGTCTCTAGGCGTGTGAGATTATCCCCCCCTATATCCCCCCCCCCCAGGGACCCCAAACCGGCAATTCGACCCCCACCCTCTCGCCCAGCCTGACCCCGGACCGAACGCACCACGGGGGAGCGGAGGGCTCCCAAACTGGCAAAGAAGGCACCAAAACGCTCCCTAGACGGTCCCAGGGGGCCACGATTCGCCGAAATAGCCCTGGACGCCCACGATGGCCTCCAGGCGGCCTCCGAAGCTGCCAAGACGCCCCAAAAGTTCCCGAGATGCGCCCCAAGAGGGTCCCAAGAAACAGAGATCGCCCCATTCCCTGAGAAAAACAGCATTTTTCGAATGCTCGCCTATTTGGTTTTCACAACGTCCCAGACGGGCAAAGAAACCTTCAATATCGCCCCCAGACGGTCAAAGGGGCCCCCAAGAAGGGTTGAAGAGGGTCCAACAACAGCCCCTGAAGCCCCCAAGACAGCCCAAGAGGGCCCCCAGACGGCTCCAAGACGGAGCCCAGAGGGCACCTTTTCGAGCCTTCGGCAAAAAAGACGCCACCAGCCTGCCCCAAGAAAAGCCCAAGAGGCCCTGAGGGACCCCCAAGAGAACCTCAAAGGCCTCCAAGAAGCCCCCAAGAAACACCCAAGAGGCCCCGAAACTTGGCCCCAGATGCCTCGAGGCGGCCGGATATGGCCTGCAGACAGGCCAAGATGCCACCAAAAGGCTACAAAAGAGCACCGAGAGGCACGATAACAACAACGAAGCAACAGGAACGATGTCGAGCGCCGTGTCATGATTCGGACAAGCCTCGTAAAATGTAGTCCTGGAGGCGCAGTAGTTTATATAGGGGTCGGCGGATGTGGCGTAAGCCTATATAATATCTCTCCTCTTCTTCCTATCTTTCTGCTTCTCCTCCTTCTCTCGCTTATCGTCCTCCTCCTCCTCCTCCCTACTCCTCCCCAAACGTCCTACGTCGTGCTCGATTCACAACGTGGCTCCAAAGGTCTAGACCCCTTCCGGTGAACCACTTTCTCATCTCGAACAACTTCGACGGTCCCAGGGTCCTGCAAGGCCCCCCGAAGACAGAATATTACAAAACTCCTCTCGCTTTGTTGCACGTGTATAAATGTATTCTTCACGACGCGAGGATGTCAGGCGCCTCCTCATCCTCCTCCTCCTCCTCGCCTACGCCATCCCACGCCCGCCCGCTGCTGCTGCTCCTCCTCGCCAGAGCGGCGGCGGCGAGGGGTATCCTGGACGTCTTCAGGCAGCAGAAGGAGGCGTGCGGCGATTCCGTGCCGTCCCTGTGCGGAATTTCCCTGGCGGGAGGGGGGGGGGGGCTAGCCCCCCTACACCTGAGACGCATAAGGACATGATTTAACATGCTAGTACTATGCGCCCTCCGTGGAGGTGCATGTCCGAACTGGACATGCAGCACGCACGCACGCACGCACGCAAGCACGCACGCACGCACGCACGCACGCTCGCACGCACGCACGCACGCACGCACGCACGCACGCACGCACGCACGCACACACACACACACACACACACACACACACACACACACACACACACACACACACACGTCCGAGATTCCTGAGCACGCGCATCGCCGCTGGGGCGCCGACGCACACTCAGTAGAAGGTGTTCGTTTTCTGATTCATTATTTTGCCGATCGGCGCGGGCCCTCGCACCCCACATCCACGGAGTAGATCTTGGCTGTTGTTGGCGCCTCTTTCAAGCAGGCGAAGCCTCCCCTCTAGCACGCACTGCTGCAAACCGTCGCGCTAAGCAGACCCTCGATGTCGAGACGCCGCATGTGGAGAGACCGAAGTTGGTGAGCGTTTTCATATTTGGCGTTTCGACATTGGGCGGAAGGGGGGGGGGGGAGGGAGGGGGGTCTGGCGCTGAACCTCTGCTTACTGCGACTGTCTGCAACAGTGCGTCTCACGGGGCGGGGACCCCACCAGCCCGAACCAGGCGCCAGAGACGGCCAACCACTACTCCGAGGGAGGGGGGAATGCGAGGGCCCGCTCCGATCGGCAAGACAATGGGTAAGACAACGATCATAAGACAGAATAATGCCTCGACCCACGGCTGCAGTTGGCTTCCTTAGGCGCGCTAGCGTCCCGGCTCCTCCGAGGCTCCCGTTGTTTGGGGGCCTCCTGGGGGAGGGATCGTCGTCTCGCCCCGCGCGGGCTCTGGCCGGGGCTCCCTGCGCTGCCGAGGAGGGTGGGAGGAGAGGGGGGACCTCCTCCCTCCTCACTCCCTCCCTCCTCCCTCCTGCTCCCTCCCTCCTTCCTGCCTCACTCCTCCCTCCTCCGTCCCTCCCTCCTCTCCCTTCCTCCCTTCTCCTTCCTCCCTCCTCCCTCCCTCCCTCCCTCCTCCCTCCCTCCTCCTCCCCTCCTACCTTCTCTCCTCCTCCTCCTCCTCCTCCTCCTCCTCCTTCTTGAATTATCCCGTCATTGGCATCAAGTGGTTGTGGAGTCTGTACGAGTACACTCCTCCTCCTCCTCCTCCTCTTCCTGCTCCTCTTCCTCCTCCTCTTCCTCCTCCTCTTTCCTCCTTCTCTCCGCCTACTTCGTCCTCCTGCGAAGATGCACGAGACGTTTTGTTGGCTGTTGTGGTGGAACATGTGTGCAGCTTGGGCCAGCAGTTGACCTTCGGGACGAACGAGGAAGGGGGGGAGAGGAGAGGAAAGACGATGGGGTACAGAGAGTGCGAAACGGGGGTAAGGATGGGGGAGGGCTGGAAGAGAAGGGGGACGAAGGGGAGGGGGGCAGAGGGAATGCGGGAACAACAGTTTTGAGGGAGATCCTGGGGCCAGGAGAAGTCTGCACGACCTGCGAGGAACACCGAGCATTTCCAGAAACCATGGGACACGTATGCAACAACAACTATGCACACCCAAACGCACAACCACCAAATTCGAACACCTCCGAACCATCAACATCGCAAACAACTAACATAATCGTTCCGAACACCGCATTCGACACCGCATCCGAAACACCGTCGGGAACTCATCGGAAACATCCAGCATCCATCGACGGCCTCTGACAATCACCCGAACACGACGACGCCGCCGACTTCGCCAGCCTGCGGGAACCGCAGAAACCGATATCGGCCCACCGCACCACTTCCATGGGCGATATGTAGCACTCGCAGAGCTCTCTGCAGCCGAACGTGTTCACCTGCCGCACCTGCCCCAACGGGTGTCGAGACAGAACGGGCGGGGAGGCGGGAGGGGGAGGCGGAGGGAAGGGAGGCTGAGGTGAGAGGGGAGGGAGGGAGCCCCCCCTTCCTTCTGCTCCTCATATCTATCCCTCTGTCCTCCGCCCCCACCTCCTCCGCCTCTTCCCTCCTCCAGCCCGCTTCCTCAACCTCCCCTCCCATTCCTCCCCCTCCTCCGCCCCGTCGTCCCCCAGCCCGTCGTCCTCCTCCAACCTTCCCTCTTTTCTGCACCCTTCCTCCCTGCGCCCAAGGGTTTTAACTTGCCGCGCATCCCCCAGCTGGAAGTCTCTCAAGAGGGGGTAGGGGAAGAGGAGGGGGTAACGGAGGAGGATGAGGAGGAGGAGGGGGAGGAGGAGAAGGAGGCGGAGGAGGAGGAAGAGGAGGCGGAATAAGCTTCTCCATACCCTCTCTCCTGCTGCTCGAGCCGTAGCTGCAGCCGTGTTGCCCCTTTCCCCGCGCACGCTTACGGTCGGGGCCCAGCGGGCCGCTCGCACCCTGTGCCTCTTCCGTCTTGGCTGCCTGCGGTGCCAGCCTGGCAGGGTGCCGCGCAGGCGCCCCCCCTCAGCGGCAGGGTGCTGCGACGCCTCCTCCGCCAGCGCCGCCATCCCCCTCCAACGTGGCACGGCCCTGCGCCAACTCTGCCTCCCGCCGCGCCGCCCGCCGCCGCCCGCTCCACCTGCTGCTGGCCTTCCTGCTGGATGACCCGCGATGGGAATTCAGGGGCCAAACAATCTCGTTCTTCCACCGCTTCCGCTCGATGAGCGCTTGCATGCTCGTGGCGCTGGTCCTGCTGCCTCGCTGCCAACATCTCCGCCGCCACTGGGTAACTGCACGGCCAAGGCCGCCCGTGCGGAAGGACCTCTTTTTGTGCACCGCCTCAACCGATGGCATGTCCGATTTCAGACATGGCCAATGGTACCCGTTGCGCTAGTAGTGCATGTGATAGCCAGCGCGGGGTGGAAGGTGACGCTCCCCAGTCTGTCTCGATGGGGCGCCCCCCTGCCGACTCCACAAGCCCGCCCCCGCTCTCCTAGAGGTAGTTGCCAGGCACCGTGCTGTCAATGCTCCTTCGTTTGGCAGTGCTGACAACACGCCAACGAGGTCTGACGATGGACCTCGACAGCACGTTCGGCCTCAGCCCACACCTGTGCCTGTCCCAATGGGCCGCCCCCGCTCGCGCTCCAACTCCCCTTAGGTCTCAAGGTCGAGCCGGCACTCGCGCCCTCAAAACTGGCCCAGACGGGGCGGAGGAAGCCCGCTAGACGAACGATGCTGACGCGCAACCCGACAATTTTGTTCAGGAGCGGGCTGCTCCCACGTCGGAAAAGAACGTGGGTTGGCCGAGAGTCATTACGCCACGCCAGTGTAAAGTCTGAGCTGCTCGTGGGAGACATCCACGCGTACCTCCAGGCCAGGCGTGCTGAAATTTCCAACGAGAGCGCTGTGCAATTCGGTGCGCTGCCAGAGCACGAGAGGCTTCACTTGCCCGCGCGTGATGTTTCTCAGGCCCCTGCGCTGCAGCCTCAGCGGGGTGCGGGCGAGTGTTTGCACAATGCAACCTCCCACTTGCAAAACGTGCAGGAAGAGGTCATGGCCAGTCTCGCGAGCGAGTAGTGGC